GGCTTTGTCTCCTCAGTTACAACGGGTCACTAGGCATCGTGCCGGCTCGTCTGCAGGGAGCAGCAACAGCATGAGGAGACCCCAGATCCCCACAGTGGGAATGTGGGTCATACTTCAGGAGTCCTCCCCACCTCTCAGCCCCTGTCTTCACGGGCACCAGTGGCTCCATCTCTCTCCTGAGGAGTGGCTGGAGGGTTTGAACCGCTGACCATTTGGTGAGTGGTAAAGGGCTCACCCCACGGTGCCACCAGGGCTCTGAGAAGACTTGGTTTGGAGAGCCACGCCTGTGCGGGAGGGGTCCTGTGTTAACTGAGACGCTGTTTGGCGCTGCCCAAGAGGGTCCCTCCAAACCCCAGTCCTTTTATTTCCAGCTGTGCCAACCTGAATCCGCAGGCGACAAGTGTGGCCAGATGAGCAAGAGTTCACCAGGCTGCGTGTCTATGATTCTTTCCTTAAGACGCTCCTTCCCAAGGTTTAGGGGGCAGAGGAGACTCATTCCATTTGCAGACTTTGGGAGATAAACTCGAATTGTTTTTCAACCTGAGAAAACCCGTGGGCTGGACCGTGACCCAGTGCTGACACACGAAATGCAACTCCGTTTCCTGGCGGAGGGGGTGTGGTGTGGGATTGTTTTCTGAGAACCCTTCTCGATCAGGCCTTAGCTGCAACATTCATGTGTCCCTGAGGTGCATGTCCCTGTCCTCCCTAAGGAGCCGGGCAGCTCCGAGGCGCACCATGCCACAGAGCCACGCCACACCAGCTCAGACGCTGTGTCTGTTTTTCTCCCACTGAAGCCGGTGCTGACTGGTAGACCTGCTTCTGGTCAGGATGCCTCCTCGACCTACAGACCGTGGAAAGCTAGCTCAGTTTGATCCCGGCACAGAGATTTGGGGCACCCCAGCCCCCCAATGCCAGCGAGTCCATCCCAGCCCATAGCTGCCCTGCAGGGTCCCTGAGCAGCTGGCCACCTGGGCGGGAACAAGTGGCCCCGTATCTCTCCTGCACAACAACTGGGGCTCTGTGTGAGGCCGGGGTGACTAGAGAAATAAATCCAGAGACACTCATATATGTGTAAGAGAGAGCTTTACATCAAGAAGTAATTGTATATAAGGAAAACATTCCACCCCATCCATATGCTAGTCCTTCGGTCCCTCTTCGGACTCATGCAGCCACGTGCAATGATGCAGAGTGCATGAAGATCATAGGCTGGTGGCTGCAAAGTTGTGGACCCAGTGGCAGTGGCTCTAGCAGCAACCAGGTTCCGCCAGCAGGAAGGGGAAGGCAGAGGGAGGGCGGGAGGTTACCAGGACCCGTCTTATGAGAAGGTCATGCTCACACGGAGGCATTGTCAGACTGGAACCTGACTGACAGGTTGAAGGCCAGTCCTACACTTGTATATCTTCAAGTTGACTTGCGATTACATAACGACACAGGGTCTCCTCAGCAAAGAGAGCTGGGGGGGCTCTCTGAGGAAGCCCTGCCCTGGCCCTGACGATGCAGCTGGTGTGACTCTTCGCTGTCCCTCGTCCTCTCCAGAATCCTTGGAGAAGTGGGAGCGGCTGACGGTGGCTGACGCCCTGGAGCCTGTGCAGTTTGAAGACGGAGAGAAGATTGTGGTTCAGGGAGAGCCGGGTGACGACTTCTACATCATCACCGAGGTGAGTCTGGCTCCCGTTGGGAGGGTGGCCTTCTGCATGCTGGGCCCTCAGGGCCCACTGGCGAGGCCAGGGCACCCAGTTGCCCGGCTCAGCAGGCGTCCGCATGCTGTTGCACAGTACCCTGTTTCACACGAATCGCGCCCATACCCTTGAAGAATGCTCGCACCCCTGTAACACACCCGCTGCCCGTAGCGTCCAGAGGGCATCTGTAGGAGCATTCGGCAGAGTGCACACCCTGAGTGGCTGCATGGTCTCCACAAGTGACGCTTGGCCGCTTGGCCGTGTCCACCTAGCGCCACTGTCCGTGTTACTTGTGGCTGCTTCTGGCGTAGTCAGGCGTCCTGGGATGGACTTTGGTGGTGGGGAGGTCGTTCTGACTCATGTGAACCAATACCACCTGGCCCTGTGCCGTGTCCTGGCTGGCAGCGCCCAGCTCTGGTCCAAACACCTGAAACTGCCAACCAGGGGCAGGCTGCCAGGGGACAGAGATGGGGGAGGGTCAGCTGGAACTTTTGCTTGTGCCTGGGTACCGAGTGCCATCCCCGCAGGTGTCAGGGCTATGTGGGTGTGGGTACACCTGTTCTGGGCCCGTGCAGCCAGCCCCCAAGTTGCTGGTCAGTCTTGTTCCTGCCCACATCCCTACCCCTGCCCCTGCCCATGCTGCCTGCAGCCTAGAGGGCTGGCATGTGGCTGAGGGATGCTAGAGAGGGAGGGACAGGAGCTGATAGGAGGGTATGACCTGTGCTGACATTGGTGACTCAACACTGGCTGTGGTTTTGGTTGAGAGGGGTGGCAGCCTGAGGACCGGATCTGCGCAGACTCGGGGACAGAGTGCCGCGGGGCTGATGGGAAGCGTCTCCTGCATGTGCCCCTCGGGGGTCATCAGCAGTGAGACCTGCCTGTCTCCTGCCCTCTCTGCCTGCAGGCCTCCCAGCAGGGGAGAGCTGGCAGGCCATGGGGGGAGACCGAGGCCAAAGAGAGAGGCTGAGACCAGACGCCTGGCCAGAGACCCGCATTGGGAATGCTTGTTGGTGGGTGAGTGAGGGAGTGTGGGGGGGGGGGTGTGAGTGAGTAAATGAGTGTGGAGGGCTGAGCAAGCGAGGGAAGGAAGGAGGGAGGGAATGAATGTGTGTGTGTGTGTGTGTGTGTGTGTGAGAGAGAGAGAGAGAGAGAGCGAGAGCGAACGTAAGGGAGCCAGTAAGGCCTAGCGCTTGCCTCCAGCCCCTGAACACGGGTTTCGGCCTATTGGAAAGGACTCTCAGGGAGGTTCTTGGGCCCTTAGGGTAGTTAGGGCTAGAGAAGTATCAGTAACAATGTAGCTTTTAACAAGGAGCAGGGAAGAGAAAACAGCCCCGCCCCTAGGCAGAGCACACTCTGATGTGGTTCTGTTACCAGACACCCCTCTAGAGTGCCCAGGTGGTGCACAGTGTGGGGGGTCTGCCACCAAAAGCGCCTGCCAAGAGCGTCCAGTGTGAGGATGCCGTGTCCATGCTGGGCAGAGGTCGGCCTCTGTGATGGCGACTTGAGGCCAAGTGCTGGTTTGATGGAGGACCCTGCGGAGGCTTGTGGTTGAGAGTCGTGGGCGCCATGGGGCTTCCAGCTATCTGGCCATGTTCTAGCACAACTGGGCAGGATGCCTTGGGGGCTGCGGCCGAGCTGATCTGAAGGGCATTTCAGTGGGGGCTGCTTACCCACTAGGTGTCCAGTGAGCACTGCTGCTGGGGACGGGGCGGCCTGACGGTGTCCTTGTCTAGGAAGAGGGCCCCTGCAGGCGCTGGGTCGGGACTGTCCTGACAGTGCCTTCTCTGCTCTGCTGCCCTGTTGACCTCCACACCATCCCAACATCAGGCCACAGAGACCCGCAGGGTCCCCATGGGCTCGACTCCGGAAGTTGGCCGCCAGGTCTCTCTTCCTAGTCTCTTTCTAGAAGCTTCCCTAACGTCTGTTCGCCGTCACACTGTTCCCCCTCCCCAGGACAGGTGGACAGTGGCCACGTGAGAGGGGCATTGATGGAGAATTGTGCCCTGTTGAGTAGACCCGACCTGACCGTTGGGATCAGGGCAGGGCGCTGCCCCAGAGGGGGCCCAGTAGCTGGTTCTTGGAAATACATCTCCAGGATCTTCTTCCCAGGCCTTCCTAATTTGGGAGCTCCACAGAAACCCCGGGTTCGCAGCGGCCACACCCGACCCTCCACAGACACATGGGGTTGGGGGCTGGGCATGTGGCGCCCTGGCCAGGAGCGAACTGGGCCTCCAGCCTGAGCCGCCCCTGGCTGCCCCGACGTGTCTGTCCTCCGACCCCTCCCCGCGGAGCCACCCCTGGACTCCACCTTTCCCGGTCCAGCAGGGGGAGGCACGCCCGCTGTGGAGAGGGGAGGTTCCTCCAGAACCCACGTGGCTGACGAAAACCAAATCCACTGCCACCACGTGGATTCTGACTCACAGTGACCCTGGGGGCCATGGGCAGAGTGCTGGGCAGTGTGCAGTGCAAACCCACTAGCTGCCCAGCGGGAGAAAGATGAAGCTGCTGCTCTCATGACGAGTTACAGTCTCAGAAACCCCCAGGAGCCGTTCTCAGTCCTACAGGCTGTCAGAAGAGACCCTACGGCCAAGGGTTCGTTTGTGTTTAGTCCCTGCATGTTGCAAACCGTTAAGTACTTAGTTGGCTGCTAACCAAACGGTGTGCTCTTAGAGCCGACCAGAGATGTCCGGAAGATAAGGCTTGGCCACGTGCTTTCGAAAAACCAGCCATGGGAACCCCATGGAGCACAGTTCTCCCCTGACACACCTGGGCTCACCATGAATCAGAGTCGGCTTGCCAGCAGCTGGGCTATTTTTTATTCTTGCATGGCAGGGCCGGGGGCTGGGGGTAGGGTGGGGGTTGGGGCTGGAGGGAAGGACTTAACAAGAGCATATGGCAGAAGCAGCCTTGTGGAACTCCCACATTTAGATCATCGGGTGGCCTGCGGCTTCCTCGGTGATCTTTTAGAAGCTGGTTCCCGAGAGGCTCTTCTTAGAACCCACGTGGCTCTGGCACAGTCTCTGGCCCACAACAGCCGTGAGGCCACCAGTATCAAGCACTAGCCACAGGAGTGTGTCCTCCTGGGGGTGCAGCCCAGGTAGGTCTTCTGATCACAGCAATGAGAACCAACTGCCCAGCTGAGTCCAGCCACTGCCCAGAGCTGAGAGAGAATATGAATGGCAAATGGTCATTTTGACCCACTATTTCTTGGAGTGGGACACTGTTCTCATCAGTTATCACCACCGATGGCCGACTAAACACTGCCTCTTTCTGGCCTGGAAAAGACAAAAGTGGAAGGCAGGCAGCCCCTGTACCACCACCACAAATTGTGTGATACAGGCAGTCCTCACTTTACAATGGGCCTCTGTTCCGGGGACTCGGTTGTAAGTTTGGTTCCCGAAGTGGGATATCGCTTCTCCCCCTCCTAGTTTTCATTATTATTGCCTTTTATTATCTATAAGGACCCTGGGTGTCACAGCAGGTGAAGCACCGAGCTGCCAACCAGGAGGCCAGCAGTTCAAAGCCCCCAGTTGCTCCCTGGGAGGCAGACAAGGCGGGCGGTCTGCTCTGTGCGGATGCCTGCCCTGCAGGATTGGCTTGGAGTTGGGTGACAGTCAAATCAGTGACGCCGGATTCTGATGATGAGCATCTCTGTGGATGGGATGTCATGGTGGCTGCCACCAGGGGCTCAACATAGGGATGGTTGGGAGGCGGGCGCAGGACGAGGGTCGCTAAGGGTCAGAACTGACCGGATGGCAACTACCCACAACAGCAACCTCTTTGTAATTGGATCTTAATTTGTCTTTGGGAGTTGCCAAGAGAAGGATGACATCAGCAAAGCCGGTGCTGAGACATGGTACGCCAAGTTGAACCACAAGGAGTCAGTCACTAGTTGACGGTCCTGTGCGCCTTGCCTTATCTTGAGTCTGCTCTGATCTGTCCTGACTTAAGAGGAATTTTCCATTCCACCTGGAGGCTGATGCCCACAGCCTGGTTCAGTTCAGGGACGAGTCTGAGGTGCTCTGCATGTGCCCTTGAGTTCATCCTGACCTGCGGTGACCCCATGTGCAGTGGAATGCAACACCGCCGGCCCTGTGCCATCCTCCCACGGACTGCCATGTGGGAGCTCACAGGTGCTGCAGCCAGTGTCCACCCATCACTCAAAAGGTCTTTGTCTGGATGAGCCTCTGTGTTCCTAGTTTGCCGTCTTTCCCCAGGGACTGGTCTCTCCTGAGCACATGGCCCCGGATGGGAGGCGAGGTCTCACCACCCTCACTAAGGAGCATTCTGGCCACGCTTCTTCCACGACAGTCTTGAATCGCATTAGAGTCTGGTTATCGACAGTTTAGTCTCGTCCCTTCCCTTCTCTACCAGTCCCATCATTGCCCCCAACCCCAGGGTCTTACCACACCAGCTGGAGCATAGACAGCTGGCCCTGTCAGCAGACACCGTGCCGGGCCTCGGTCTCCCTGAGGGCTCTGCAGGCTGCGTGTCAGCGGGCTTGGTGCCGAGGAGATGAGGAGCTTGGGCAGATGCAGGCCGACCGATGCTTGTTGGCTGGGGACTGGGGTCCCTCACAGATGGCCTGGGCTGACTGTAGCAAATCCAGGAAAATACACGTAGGGGAAAGGACTGGTGGCCAGGCATGGCCGTTGCTCCCTGGGGCGGGGCTGCGGGGATACTCATCAGGATATGGGAGCTGACTAAGTCCTGGGGCATGTGTCCTATGGAGCCCCCAGTCTTGGTTTATCTGGCCACACGCCTATGGGGGAGGCCCCGTCCTCTCCTCTCCACTGGGCAGTGGGAATGGGTGCAGAGAAGCCTCCCTGGCTGCCTGAGGACAGGAGCAGCCAGGCTGGGTGAGGCACGGCCCTCCACAACCAGCTCCCGCCTGCTGTCCAGTGGGTACTCACCAGGGAGGGGCCATGGTGTCCCCTGGGTGTCACACCTGGACCCAGAGGCCTTGCTGGCCATGGGAG